CTCAAGAGACCCTACTATGCTCACATCAAAGCCTGGAAACTGAGGCCCATACAGGTATCCTATCTTTGTATGAGACACAGGTATCATTAGACGGAGGCAGGAGAGTTCAGGTAAGGACAGTCTTTGCTTCTCTGGTGTCACAGAACGCTGGGATGTATGTAAAAAAAGAGACCCCAGGAATGCTGGTACAGCTCTCCATCCACTGAGAGGGGCTGGTGCTACCCAGTGTTTCTCCTGGGGAGCTCACGCTTCAGAGGAAAAATGCTCGCACAGTGCTGATGGCGTATTTAAATGCATGCTAGTGATCACTGCCATGCAGGCACCCACAAAGGCAAGCTCAGGATGGTCTAACCTGGTCAAGGGTGATCCAGCACACAGCACAGACCTGGACCATGCTTCATCCCCTCTCTCAGGGCCCCCTTCTCTAATACAACTCTCAACCTAAGCAACCCTGCATATCCTCCCTTCCTGCTCTCAGCTCTGCTCCTCTGGCATTCAGACCAGTGGGCAGCAAAAACAGAAGCTGGCACCATGGGAGAGGGAGAGGGAGAGGGTGTGCTGTGGGTGAGTAGAGGAGCAACACACCACAGAAGGAACGTCCCTTGTCCCAGGAGTGGGTTGGGGGCAGGGGCTGAGGAACCTCCCAGGCTTTACCAGGCACACAACCACAGAGGACACCACAGCTTCCTACTATGACATTTTGTGTATATAAGGAAGCAGTTGCTAACATTTCCTCTAGACAGCCCCAAACCCCAATGCTGATTACAGGACTGGTCCTTTCAACTGCCCGCCCCGTGCAGGCTCTGGCACTTCACACTTTAGGCCCTTTGGTGCACAACACTGAAAACATGTAGAAAGTGTATTTTCAGGCATTCCCAGCCACTTTCTAAAACAGTCTTTGTTTTTTAGGTTCTTCCTTCTTCTCTTCACCCTCTGCTGTTTTTCTCTTAGCTTCTAGTGGAGCCAAAGGTAACAGAGGGACTGCCTTGCTGGTTTTCTACCAACATAAACAACCACCAACTTGGGGAAGCGCTGCCATCTGCTGCACACGGGTCACGACGGCACCAGCAGGGGGCGTGCACCCATCTATTATTCTTCCATTAGCTCCTCACAGCCTTGGGCCATCAACACAGACTCACTCAGACATAAACGGACCAGACAGCCCTTTGGTCACAATCTCAGGACTCAGTCATCTGACCCGGATATGAATCCCATTTCGCGTATCAGTTGACAGCCCAACATTAGACAAACCACTTCATAAGAATTAAATAAGCTAACGTATAGTGTTGGCACACGGAAAAGGTTCAAGAAGCACTGGCCGTAACTGCTCCTGGAACTAACACTGTCCATGTGACTGTGGCAAAACTGAGAAGTCCTCAGTGATGACAAGCGTCATGTGGTGAGCCAGCAGGGTTTCAAGAAAGGCTGGTACTGAGTGTGCAGCCCTGTACCAGGGAGGCAGGCTAGGTCCTAGGCTTTTACACAGCTAAGCAAACATGGTACAGAAGCCCAGGGTTCAAAGCTACCTGAGACACAATCCCCTTCAAGCCTCTTTCTTATTCAGGAAGAGGTAGTGACCGACTTCAGTGTCAAGCCACAGAGTAAATTAGCTCCCCAGCACTGTGCCTGGCTGCTTCATTTCTTTTTGGCCCTCCTGTCCTGGGAATATTCTTTGGGATTTATCTTACTTCATTAGTGTATGCAGTGTGTCTGAGTGGGTTGTGCACATGAGCGCAGGTGTCCACAGGCCCCCTGGTGAGCTGCCTGGTGCGGTGGCTGTGAACTGAGCTCCAGTCCTTTCTGCAAGAGCAGAAAGTACTCTTCAGCTCAGGGTCATGTCCCCACTGAGGGTACATTACCACCTCATTATTTAAATAAGCCTACAGTGCTGCAAAGAAACGGAAGACATACACCTGAGGCCGACAGGGAGCAAAGATCTAGAGACTCCAACTGCAACATTTAATTTGGTTAAAGTCCTTGAATTATTGGCCACTTTGCTGGTTTCCTTATCAAATTAATGCGTTTAATGGTTTCATGTTAAAGTTTAACTAAGTATTTCCAAATGTTTTTAAATACACCAGCTGAGTATTTTAAATGACCTTAATGTTTCTATCTTAGAACAAAACTACAATGAAATTAATGTGTCTCGGGAGTCGCAATAGCCAAGGAAACCACCCACATGTTTCAAATTTCTCAGCCTAATCTTAGTCCTGAAGCAACACTCAGGCCGTTTGCCTAGTGAGGTCACTGCAAAGGCTGGTGCTTGAGATGTTGTTAGATGCTTCACATAATTTTGTTAATTCCCTTTCGCTTCAAGGAGTCAATTACCACTTTTCTCCTGCAGTACAAAAAGCACGCTTTGGGCCTCATGTTTCCACTAAAATGAATGATACCCAATTTTCAGCCCTCTACACATGCAGCTCAGGCTGGCTTACAATTCATTATGGATCCAAGGATGACTGTAAAGTCCTGATCCTCCTGTCTCCACATCCCAGATGCTGAGATCACAGGCACGCACCATCATGTTCCAGTTCCGTGTTGCTGCCAATCAAACCCAGGGCTTCATGCACATTAGGTAAGTAGTCTACAGACTGAGCCAGCCCCAAGACATTCACCTGTGTACCTTTAACTGCAAAATCAGTGTGGCTAGTGAACTCTGATATCATTAACCGTCACATCCCAAGTCAGAAACATCGAGGTACCTTAGAAAGCGTTTTCACTGTCTGAAACTATGCATTTTAATTGTGGAGGTGCTGTGGGTAGAACCCAGGGCCTTGCACACACATACAAAATAAGCCCTCTCCCACTGAGCTTGAAACTAGACATTTTTAAACTAAAGATCAAGTAACTTTTATTTTAAAAAAATATTTTAGTCTTCATTAGGTTTCTCTGTGTATGTGTTTTTGAGTGCACATGCTTTGGAGGACAGAAAAGGGCATCAGATTTCCATGCAGCTGGAGTTGCAGCTGGGCAAGTTCTCTGCAGGAGCAGCAAATGAAGAGCAAGCAACTTTCAACTGTGAGGAAAGACAGTCTTTACACATTTTTCTTAGAGGCCTCTGGCATACTACATTTAGCTGGCCCTCAGTATACTTCCTTTTTATTCCGGCTGGGACCTCAGTCTATGGGTACCATCTACATTCCCCGAACAGTGGTGTAGAAAGCTACTTATATGCAAGTACTCTATGATTTAAAGTACAGGGGAGGGTGTGTGTAAGCTATAAGGGAATCGAGCATCTGAAGCTTTTGGAATAATCTGCCCACGCTGAGGGACCATGGTCATGAAACCTGATGTGCGTTTGATCCAGCATATTTCAAACATCAGCAATCGGTGTACAAAGGGAGAGACTGGCTCATCTCAGAGCTATTCAGGACCACCCAGGCAGCTCAGGGGTCCTTCAGCACTGGGGTGGTTTATAGCGGTGATGAGAGGGGATGAAGCAGTGAGGTTCCGCTGTTTGCTAACTGTATACCTTACGTCACCAGGTGTGCCTGGCCTCAGTTTTCTTCTCTGCAAAGCTGGGAAAACAGAACTTACCTGAAAGGGTGCTGTGGGGACAGAATGATAGAGTCAATGACCAAAGCACTCCGAGATAAACACAAGATACGGGGAAGGAGGCGGTGATATCCATTGTTATCAGAACAGCCCGCCCATGTGGATTAGTGCAGCAGGCCGCTTTTCCTGGACAGCCTCCAGCCAGTGGGCAAGGAAGAGCCGAGCAGGCAGCTTCGTCCCTACTCTGGTCTCAAGAGCTTCAGTTTCTGTTACTCACGCTACTTCATCGCAGCCCTATTTTCTGCCAGCCCTCAGAGCGACAGGTGTGTGTCAGAGGCCCCACGTGTACTTTGAGGGTACACTGTCTCTTCCTTGCGCACCTCTGCACGCAGAAGCTTGAAGGTCACCTCTAATGCTCAGGATATTCTTCACTTAGGACAAACTGTGTGTGCTCACCTCTGTCTGCATCCTCCTCCCTCCCACCCCTCGTCTCTACAGGGTTTCATTCCTAGAACTCATTACTATATATATATATACCAGGCTGGCCTCAAACTGAAAGAGGTCCACCTGCCTCTGTGGGTGTCACCATGCCCAGCTTCAGATTCTTTCTCTTGATAACAGATGATAGCAAAAGCCCACAGTGAACCTTGAACCCATATACACAACATGGCCCCTGCAGAGGTCAGTGCCTGGTGATACCGAGTGTAGACAGAAATTGGTGAGGATGCCAAACGCTAACTCATGATTGCTTCAATTGCTGCCTGGGGCTCACCCACACACAGATGCAACCCTCACACTCACAGCCAAGGAGTGGGCGTGAACAAAGGGTACAGGCTTCTGGGGTGGGGAAGAAGGGCGGCTCGCATATGCATGGGATGATGCGCACAAGATGGAGTGGGCGGGGAAGGAAAAGAAGAAAATGACAAATGGAGCCCAGATGCCTGTGTTTCTGGAATTTAAACACTACAAGGCATCGCAGTCGATAGCAGCTATCAAAGTACCACCATTACTTCTGAAGAAGATAACTTGCTTTTTGTTTTGTGGGGCGGGGGGGGGGGGCCTTAAAAATGACAGATATTGAGATGGCTAACTATTTAGCCTTTAGTGTGTTAGGACGAATCTTTACCCCAGCAGATATTAACTACATGACTGAAGAAGTTTCTAATTCAGGGTCCTCATTTATCTAATGGTGTCCAAATCTCATCAGCCACACAAGAAGGCTCAATAAACGCTACCTAACATAAATATGCAAGACATCAGCGAGGCAAGGGGCTGCCTTGCAGCCAAGGTACTCTCTGGAGCTTGTGGTCCACACAGCAATAAACACCCACCTCTCAAGCTGGAGATACCTGCCAAAAGTGTCCTTCTCCCTGGTGAAGAAGGGCTTCCTGGCTTCTCCACATCAGGACATTTCATACAGGCATTAGGGAAGGGGTCAGCGAGGGACTGTCAAGAAATGAACATGGAAGCACCTCCCATTAGCCGCCCCTGTCTAGCATACTCACCGAGTCTGGGTCTCTCTGCTGTTCAAGGAAGGCTGAAAATTCCACCAGGCGAAGCTTGGTTGTGCCAATGGAACGGCCCTGCCAGGCAGGGACCGAGGGAGCTGGGGCTGACGTAGGCTCAAACCCTGAAATAAGAATTGTCACCTTTACCCTCAACGGGACAGAGTTCTGAATGCAGAAGACGTAGCAAGAAAGAACAATTTCCTCCACTGGTGGCACTCAGGCAGGGTGACACTCTGGCTGAGGCTTTTACAGACAGCGGCCAGCTAGGCAGACTGTACGAAGCTATTGTGTGGCCAGCTTCAGCTAAGGTTAAGGAGCTGCGGCAGGAGGACACTGCAATGGTTGCCATCCATTGTCAGCTTGATTAAATCTAGTCTCATCACAGTCAAGGATCTATAAAGGTTTAATTGAAGAAGAGGATGTGCACAGCACCACCCCACAGCTAGGGCCCAGAACAACATAAAGAAGGAAGCTGAGCATCAGCCTTCATCTACACTTTCTGCCAGCGGATAAATGGGACCAGCTGCCTCATTATGACTCATGGACAAGATGGACTATACCCCCTCACACTGTGAATGCAAGCAAAACATTTTTCTTTTTGGTTGCTTGTATAGATACTCTGTCACAGCAACTAACATAGATGGCTAATCCTGGGTAAAGGGGGCTGGCTGGAAAGCAAGCCCCCTTGCTAAGAATGGCAGAAGTATCTAAGGAAACACCTGTGAAGGCATCCCACGCAGCCAGGACCCATAGTACACTGCTTCTCTTGGCTCTTCTTCTATCTCAAGACTGTCCTCACCAGCCCTATAGAACATTCATTCCCTCAGGATACTCCATGGAAACAGAGGGCAACAAGCCAATGCATTCTGACCATGAACACTGAAAGGGTAGATCAAGGATTATACACTGTGTCAAGAAGTTCAGCTGAGTATACTCTATGTACATTTGCATGAGAGGGCTCAAGAGAAGGGGAGCCAGAAGGGCCAGCCAGATTCTGCTACAACCTTCCATGTAAACCCTTCTTTACAGAAGGGAACAAACAGGGAGCTGGAATTCACAACCTAGTAAAGCTCAAGTTATCTGTGCCTGACTCAATTCCATGATCTGGCAGCTTCTGAAGAGAGTGACCACAACAACTTCCCCTTCTAAGTGGGGCCCAGTGTCTTAAGTGAAAGTGGCCAGGCTTCCTGTTTCCTGACAGTCCCGTAAGAAGAGCTCTCAGAAGAAAGGGCTGCTTTTAAACTTATTTTTATTTCCTTATTTTTATCACCTAAGTGTTTTGCTTGCATATATGTGTTCCATGTGGGCACTGTATCCCCTGGAACTGGATTAACAAACGTTTGTGAGCAACCATGCGGGTACTAGGAAATGGACCCAGGTACTATACAATGGCAATCGGGGTTCTTAACCACTGAGCCATCTCTCTAGGAGAAGGAACTCTTTCTTGAGTGAAGGGAGCCCAGGCCTGATGGGAGATATCTGGGACTTTTCTCAGCTTCAAAATAGGGCCCATCCTTAGAGAAAAGAAGAGAGGTGGCTGGTGGCTAAGACCAAAATCTCTGCACTCCTGTGATAAAAGTGGCTGCGCTGTCCCTCAGCAGAGGAGCAGGAAAACTCACCTGGAATGGGGGCTGTGACTGCTGGCTGGATGGGGTAGGCCTGCTGCACAAAGGGCTTGACGCTGGGGACAAACGGTTGGTGAGAGTCAAAATGAAGGAAGCAGTAGTGGTTACTGCCCAGGCCTAGTCTTGGCCTATATTAGGACTCGCCCATCACCCTCTTTGCCTGCTCCCTGACTGCAGCGGGATGCCCATTCCTTGCAGAGGTCCAAACACTGACAACAATGTGGTGGAATAAGCTGGCCCCGGGTCACGCTGGCTTCCCCACAGGGTAGCAGATACGCGTGGAGCATACTTTTCATCTGCACACAGACCAAGGTCAGCTGTCACGGCCCAGGGAGGGTTTAGGAGGCCATGAGTCGGGGTCTCCCTTTTCCAAACCACTAGGTCAAATATATACAAAGAAAATTTCTGTTCTGCTTTATCCCCAAACTGTGCTTGGCTCTTGTGGGCTGAGCTTGCTCCCTGGATTCAAGGGGTCTCTGGGATTTTCTATCAGGTACTCCTACCACGAGGACAGCCACAATGGAAAAAGATAATGTCTTTGCTGTCCCCTCTCAGATGAGACAGATGCTGGTGATGCAGCCTAAGCCATAAAGATAAGGGACCTAATTCAAGTTTCCAGCTGTGTCTGATAATACTGCAGGTGGCAGAAAGAAATTTATACCCTTGCTAACTCTCAAAGGCGGCCCCTTTAATGTCCTGGAACATTGGGACATACGGAGAGGCAGACTTCCATTTGACTGTCTTTCCTCCAGTAAGCCCTGAGAATGCTTAATACAGGAGAACCTCCCGCAGGGTGGGCTGTCTAGCCTCTGTTGTCTGGGCCCTTCACAGACTTACTCTTGTGAGGATCCTGGCTGTCCTGTCTGTATCATTCCAGGCCAGAACTGAAAGGCAAGAGGCAAAGGCTTCAGGGTCTTGAGTTCTCATCAAAGTACAGTTTGGGATATGTCCAAATTATAAGGTCCTGCTGAAGAACACGAGATTACCCACACCCACAAGCTTCAGAATCATCTTCCTGGGGTTCGGGTGTGATCAGTGTTGTGTAGCCTACCCGAATTCTGCTAACCCAGGAGCTTCCTTTTATCTACCGTGTCCTGAAAATTCTCCTAACCAAGAGGCAATATAGAAGAATTCCATTTTTTTCAGCAGGGCAGGTCTTCCCACTACCTCCAAGAGTTTCCTGCATACCCCAAGCTCCAAAAGAGCAACACATGGACTCTGAGACACAGAAGCCAGAGCTTGGAGAAGCAAAGGCACTCATTTCTGCTGGGAGCATACGTAAGGACTTCGGCAGAATCTTGACATCACTACTTATCTGAAAGACCAAGCCACGTTTAATAGCATCTCATTACTGAGCAACCTCAGCTTTTTCATCTGCAAAATGGTTATGACACTAAGACTATTGAAGATCGCTCTGGGGTGACACATGATATGATAGATAGCTTCTCAGTCTTTGGGAGCTGTCAAATGAAAATATTAAAAGGAGTAGTTTGCCCTGTGAGGTATGGTTGCTATAAAGTAACCCAGAGCATACAGGGACAGAGAGCAAGAACCAGGAAAAAGAGTAAAAGAGGCAGGTTCCAACTAAATAGGGCACCAGAATCAAGACACTTCATGTCTTTAAATTTTACTATTTTCCTCTTATTTCTCTTTTTTCTTTTCTTATTTTCTTCCTTCCCACCCCTTCCTTTCCTTCTCCCCTTTTCTTTCTAGCTCCATCTCTCTCCCCTTCTATCTTATCCACCTATGCCTATCATCTATATCAATAATCATCTGCCTATCTATCCATCCATCATCTCTTTCATTCTAGCTATTCACCTATCAACTATCTATTTATTCATCCATCCATCCATCCACCTATCTACTTATCTACCGAACTTTCATTTTGTGATATCATGGATTGTCCCAAGGGACAATTCCTGGCAGGCAAGTGCTCTACTACTAAGCCACATCCTCAGTCCCCTTTCATTCTTGTCATAGACAGAGCTGATTCAAGTCACCCTGGCTGGCCTTGAACTGGCTATGTAGACCAAGCAGGATTTCAAACTTCCAAGCCTCCCAAATCAGCCTTCTGAGGGGCTGTCCCATCACACTCATGGTGGCCATCATGCCTGGATTCTGGTCCTTACTTACCCCCGGTGCCCCTGGGAAGGTGGGGCGTGGAATTCCAGGCAGCCCCAGCTTGTTGTGGATGGCAGTAGCTGAGACGATCTGGGCTGATGACATGGCAGCCATGTGCTGCAAGGCCTTGTCCTTGGCAGTCTGATCCTTGAAGATGACAGTGACACACTGACTTAATACAGAACACATGGCTACCATGTGGGTTAACAGTGCAGCCACAAGCACAAAGACTAAAATACAGAGCCACACAGGGGCCAAGAAAGCACACATGCACAGAGAGGGAAATCAACATGGCGGGGAGGCTGTGACTGGCTTACTAGCAAGCTGCTAGCAAGCAACACCTAGTGGCAAGGTTGGGTTTTAAACCCTTAATCCATTTTCCAGTAGGTAGGAAGCCAAACAATGTATTCATTGTTTGTACTTCCAGGAGAATTCTCAACGACTTATCACGTCAGGGCTGGGGGTGACCCTGCTTTCAGTTACCAGCAGGGGCAGGGCCATCTAGAGAACACAGGGAGCACTATTTGGGTGCCTGCTGTCATTGTGGCAGGCCCTGCTGGGGTCATGCAGGGCCCAGGAACCCTGGCAAACATCTGTAGGGGGCAGCTCAGAAGCAGCAGACAGGTAGGAAGGCAGCCAAGCAGCATGCTGTCAGGGCACATGCTATGGGGCTAAGGCTATGGTTCCTTTACAAAGGTCAGAGTGTGGGGGCTACTGCACTTTTCCCTTTCCTGAATGGATATTTTCTAGAAAGCCAAGACTAGTAACATAAAGCTAGCCAAAAAAAACAAAACAAAACAAAAAAAAAAGTCTGCCAAGCACAGCTAAAATACAGAATACTCAGTTAGGAGAATATACTTACCATGCTTGTTACCTGGATACAACAATAAACAGTTTGTTAAAAGGATCATGTACAAAGGCAGGGTTACTTTTCTTCTTTAGTTAAAAAATACTTATAAACACGACATTCGTGTGCCATAAAAGTGTGTGTGTGAATATGGCCATTTTTTTATACTTTAAGAGTATGCCATCCAGATAGCCGTCTAAGGACCGGCATTGGCAGAACTGACCACGAAGCTCCCTGGCTGTGTGGCTATGTGGTGTCCCCATTAGAGATGGGGCAACGGTCAGGCCTTGTGTGTGTGGCAGGCCCCATGGGTGAGGGTCTATACTCAGAACCCAGCGGCCATGGGAGCCGAAACTAGTGACACCAGCACTGTGCTGCTACCTTCCACACAGCTGCCAACAGAGTTTATGGTGAGGGACAGTGGCTGAGAGGTCACTCAAAGCGCCAGCCAGGAGGCAGCTTCCCCATTCGCACAGCTAACCAAAGGTGAGACACGAACAGGTGGCCAAAGGAAGGTCAGGAGAAATCGGAAAAACAAACAAAGTAGAAAACAATTCTGGAAGCTTCTGACAAGAATGCATTCAATCCTCCAAAGTGTGGACAGCACTTTGCCCCACTATACCAGGAACACCAGGAGGACATTTCTAAAAGCTCGTATGGAGAGACAGAGCCTCAAAGAATAAAAATATTTTATTACAAACATTTTGAGAGAAAGAGTAATGAGAGGGGGGAGTAGAAGGAGAGGGAGGAGGAGCTAAACATGGATTTTTACATTTCCGTGCTTTGTACTCGAGAGCGAGTAAGCCCCGAGCCAGCTCTCCAGGCTGCACCCGAATCCTGTGAACACTTCTCATATACCTGCATCAAGGACATGGTGAAGGCCTGGGAAGCTTGCTTGCTGATCCCTACTACAACGGCCTAGGGTGACTAGGAATGATGCTTACTATCTCATCACCAGCTGGCATGCTTTCAAGCCAGGCTTTATTGGCTAGCCAGTCAAAACCTCTAACCCAAAGCCTGTCTAAACCTGAAGTTGACGCAAGTAAAATTTAAATGGTTCCAAAAGATTTTATGCATGCTCACATGTACGTGAGTTTTGTGTGTGTGTGAGTGTGTGCATCAACGCAGAGGTGGAATTTTATTATAGACTGGGAACACTCATATGCATGCTAAAGCAGAGCTGACCCCAGCACACACAGGTGTCAGTGCTAGTCAACTGATGGCTTCCTCTGAAGGGAATCTCAGTAAGCATGGCTGTACTCACAGTAAAAAAATGCCCAACACCAAAACACATTGCCTAGTTTTTTCTTTGAGCCCATCACACTGGACTCCAGCCCTGGAGCCACTCAACCCTGGTGAGAGATTATAAAAGCTCTCCAGGCAATTTGCTGAGACTGAGGAAATGGCAGAGGAATGGCCACAGGTGCCTTGCCACGCTTCACATCTTCTTTGGGGCCCAGAATGGGGTAGTTTGTTAAAGAGAAGCCCAGACCTTTTGTCTGTCCGGCGCTGTGAATTCTGAAGAACTATAAAATCGCTTTAGGACCTGGCCCTGTTCCTTGAGAGAGTCATGCAACCTCTCAAGAGACCTGTGAGGCCTTGTGTTTATGAGATGCTAGGGAGAGAGGTGACTGTACCTGCCCCAGTGTGGAATATGATTGCTGCATTTTAGTGGCACGATTTAGGAAACCAAAGCCCAGGTCCAGAGAAAAAATAGTTCCTTGAATCTCCAGGACATATTGATACACAAACCTGCTTGAAACATTTCTCTTTGCCAGGTATGTTCAGAAGTTCTTCAAAATATCCATGAAGGATTAACAGTCTCCTTAAAAAGCTTTTTATACATTTATTAGTACGTATGTGCCCACCGTGGAGTTGGTCGGTTCTCTACATCCAGTGTGAGACCCTGGGCTTGAACTCAGATCAAGAGGCTTGGCGGCAAGTCCCTTTACCTGCTGAGCCATCTCACCAGCTACATTCTCCTATCAGTCAGCGTGGGAGGGGGAAGGAAAAACAAACAAACCTGGCTTTGCTGTTTACCCCTCATAGCCTGTAAGGAAGCTCTAATTCATCTATTTAGTGATTATGAGCCACTCCGGCTAGAAGGTATCATAAATAAAAGCAAAGTCTGAAGGCAAGAGGAGAGATTTGTTGTTTTCTGTGATTTCCACAGCACCCAATGCCTTCTTGGGAGTAAGTCAAGTGCCTGGCCTCCTGCCCCATGGAGGGCAAGTCATGTGACACCTTTGACTTTCTTCACTTGGGAAGGATTTCACCTTGATCTCCTACACCCTTCCTGTTCCACTATAAAAGTGTCTATCTGTCAGGATGAAGGTGGCTGGGGAATTCCATTATGACCAGCAAATCATAATCCCTAAGGCCAGTGAACTAATGACCAGAGGCAACTAGCTGGTTTGTTCAAATCTGGACACCTCTTAGCTGCCTGTCCTGACAGAGAGGAAGCCAAGTGTGGGACATAATGTTATCTCAAGCAGTGGCCCCTGCACTTGACCCACCTGCCTGAGAATGGGCAATTTTCTGTAAATGGACTGAAACGGCTACACTCATGATTCCTAGCTTTTGCAGCAGATACTCTAGTCATTGAATTTCAGAGCAGTGGCCCTTCATCTACAATGTACACGTGAAAATGAAAAGGGTTATGCTGTGTGTGGTAGCTTCGGGGGTGTATAAAATCTAAAGTAACCCTGGAGACAGGTAATAAGCCTGACGGTGCTCCATGGAAATTAGGGGGAGAGCCTGGCTGCAGACCCTCTCACCCTGAGATGTGAGCTGAGAAAGATGCTCTCTCTCAGCTGTCATCTGCAGCCCAGAGACACGTGACTGGCTCTAGAAGAATTATCACCCTAAGTGTCAAACCTGGCTGGGTAAATTGCCTACCTGTGTCACTACAGGATAATATCCTGGCCTTTTATCTGTTGGTTCCTCTCACCCTCATACAAAAGAGAAAGGGTTGATGGGCCCAGTAAGTCTCAGTGCTTGTAAGAAATGCAAGCTACACTCACACACCAAGTTAATTTATCTCTAAGATGTATTTAAACTTCTCGATGCTTCTGAGCTGAGGATGAGATTTACAAAGGATGAGCCAACTGGTTTATCTTGAAACACTGTAGAAAGTCAATATTGAGTTATACGCTGCCTGACTTAGACCCCAGGAAACACTGTGTGTGTGAGAGTGTGTATGTATAGGAACACAGGGGAAAAAAAAGTCTCGGGGAAAACCTGGGACAAGTTCCTGTTCCCTGTTCATTTTTGTTGTTGTTGTTGTTTTTACAATTTATTCATTGTATATCCCTATTGCAGCCCCCCCTCAACTCCTTTCAGTCAGTCTCACCCTCCCTGCTTATCCTGAGCCCATGACCTGTTTTTAAAGTCCCAAACAGTAGCAAACATGAGCCAAAGATGCTGGTAAAGTCCCAGCTAGAGGTAAGTGTCCTCATTATCTTCCCTTTTCCCCTCACCATTCAATTTATACCATACACAGTCAACTGTCTCATTGCCCCTGCTCAGTTCAGCATGCTGAGTCACACTTTTTGCAAACTGTTAGTAAGTAAACAGGCCTTCATATTTCATGAAGCCGGGCTCTGTTCTGCTGACTGCCTCTCCTCTTTGATAAAAATGGATGTTAGGCAAATACATGTATGTAATATACATGATGGGAAGGTAGCAATGTGAATGAACGTGGCTGAGGAGGTCCAGGAAACTGTATGAACCAGCCTCTGGCTGTCACATGGGTCTTTTCCTCCTTTCTCACTGCTGTGCCAGCACTCAGTTGGTTTGCAAATGATCTCACTGTCTCTAGATGTAATCCACAGACAAACTTTGAGGGTAATAAACATAAAGAGAACACATGCTTGGATATGCAGTGTGTCACAGCATACTACATAAAGCATATATAACCTGTAAAGTTCTAATATATAGAATATACACAGTATGTATACACAAACCATATAACACACTTATTCAGAAACTACCATCTCAGAACTTCAGACGGGAATATTAGCAACACTGCAGGAAAAAGCCATATATAAAGTCACAGAAACCAAGGAGTAAAAAGGCATCGTGAGCTATTAAATGCTTTCCTGCAAAAAAACATATTTTCCCCAGTAACATAAAATTATAACGCAGGGGAGGGAAAACAGCAATTTGCTTGGAAAAAAAAAAAAAAAAAAAAACAACCCACAGAATATGTGCCTCAGAATTACTTTTACGATGTTGTTTCTAATCAAGCATAGTGTGGATTCCCGTGACCTCTGCAATGATTAGCCGTGACCCTTGAGCAGATAAACATCACAAAAACATAAGGTGGTCTTGGGAAAGGATGGGGCACTTGAATGTTTTCTAGCCATGATCTCTAATTTGCTTATCATTGCAGAAGGCGGGAGCAAATACAAAAGGGGCAATTCTGGTCAGGCCACAGCCACTGTGGAGGAGGGAAGGCACATTCAGAGCTGGCCTGACTTGCTGCCTAATGAGTAGCAATTAATTCATCGTATTGTATCTCAAAATGCCGAAGGCTCCATTCACATCAAAGAAAAAAATTTTTCAAGGCTTTTACACATTGTTCATTTTCCAATGTACAGAGCTATGTTTAGCACTGTGTCATTGTCCACGGCAGTCCCTTTCTTTCTAATGTGGGCCTCTGGCTTCACAAAGAACTGCAGATGAGGAGCTGGGTAAGTGAGCCTTGAGACTGTCCTAGGAATGGAGAATGTGGCCAGCTCAGTCTGGGGCTAGGTGCTGAGGAAAAGATATGTTCCTGATTAGTGCCCTGTTGTCTGGGAGCTGGCAGCTGAGTTCTAGAGTGAGAGCTAGCTCCCACTGCTCGTCTTTGCCATTTCCTTCAAACTCAGAAAGACCAGCTGCCTTTGTGCAATGTGCCTATGTGCAAAACCGTGAGTCAGGGACAGAAACCCTCATGAGTCGCTCTGCAAGAAACTTGGGCTTTGGCACCCAACATGCTGAAGATCAGGGTGAGATCTGTAACCCCAGACAGATCACAAAGCCTTTGTGAGCCCTCACTGCCTCTTTACTAAAGCAGGGACAAAGGCAGCACCGCTCGGACAAGATGGCGGCCCACGGGCCCACTATTCATGCTTCCCCTGTTGTGACCTGCTACTCAGGAGCTCGGGTCTTACCTGCACAATCCTGGTTACCAACTTTACTCTAGAGTGGTCTCTGACAGACCGACCTTGGAAGGCTGCTTAGCAAGAGATTTCTCAATTCAAGTATGAGCACACAGAACAGAGCTGCTTCGTTTAGAAAGCAAAATATCTTCCAGGGCTGGCTCAGAGGAGAAAGGTAAGCAAATGCAGTGTTGGGCTCACAGAGTCTGTCCTGCATTGCCACATTACTGGTGCTGAGACTCTAATTCCTTCCCACATCAGCTCAAGTACCTATGGCATCAAAGGACTAATGTCATGATGGCAAAAGAACCTGAAGACTGGAACTGAGAAAAAGCTGGCATGGTTTCCCAAACCGAAGGCAAGGCCGGGAGGATGCAGGTTCCCTTCAAGGCTTGGGACCTAGCGCTCTGTTCAGGTCCCACTCCTCACGTGTGGCCCAGGGGACCACAGGGAGTGAATGCAGTGTGTCTGCCCTGGGGTGTGCCTTAGTTATAACCCCAACTGGATGCAGCAGAGTGCACTTGAGCAATGCCCCATGAAGTTCTTGAACTTGGAAGAATAAAAGTAATGATTTCAATTTTAAGCTCTCTGCTAAATGGAAGGAATGACTGACTAGAAAGAAAGGTCTGCAAATGGCAGCTCACAACCATCTATAATGATAACTGGTGCCTTCCTCTGGCTTGCAAGGCAGGGAGGGAAGAAGAAAGGGAGGAAAGAAAGAAGGAAGGAAGGAAGGAAGGGAAGGAGGGAGGGAGGAAGGAAGAAAGGAAGGAAGAAGGTCTGTGTGACAGAGGGCCCCAGGGCAAAAATGAAAAAAGTATGGCCCCAGGAGAGTTCCTGTAGCTTATAATTTAGTCAATCACTGGATGGATCAGAGACACATGCCTCTTCTGCTCCACTGGGATGAAGCACTATTAGCTTTTCTTCATTGTGCATCCTGGCCAGACACGAACAAATCTTCTGCCCAAGACATCCTGCCAAGGTGAGGACAGAGCAATGACCTCATTTCCTCTTCCTATTTTCTCATGCTTGTACAACCATCTGAACACAAACATGGCTCCATCCAACTCCCACAAGGAAGATGGCAGTGGTATGCCATCTGCAGAGCCAGGTATGGGTCCCATGGTCTCTGCCACGATAGTTCTGGACATCTTGGATGACAAAAGAGACTCAGAGCAGGAATCTCTGTGTAGAAACTCCACATAGAAAAGGCAAAGGTAGAAAACATAGAAAATTCAGTTGTAGTCTTTTTCCATGCCAGGCTGGGTCTCAATCGGTAGAGATTCAGGAAGAGCTAATGTTGATATATTCATGGAGAAAACATTTCAGAGCAACAAAGAACTTCAATTGTTGCAAGCTGTTCCTCAGATCTCTCTCAACCCAACCTGAGATTTTGGTAAGATTCTAAACTGCAGGGGACTAAGGTATCAATGCAATAAATGAAAGCAGAATGGGTGCTCTGTGTGACAAAATCACACAGCCAGCTCCAAGTTGGCATCTGTGAACTCCGATCCACCTATGCCACAGACCTGGAGGCCACGTGCCTATGGCACGGTGTGGGGCTATCTTCTGCTTTGCTGACTGTATCAGGAGAGCTGAGGGTCATCTAAAACACTCCCAGAAGAAGCATAGGTCAGAAGGGCTCTGTCCTGGCAGGAAAGGCATCCTCTCTTGAAGATAAGCTCCCAGAGGCCTGGAGGAAGCACTTTTGCTTTTTTCTTAGGCACTTTGATCAAGATAAGATAAATCCTTGTGTGAATTTCCACTATCTTGGTACTCTGGCCACAGATGCCTTTCATTCTTTTCTCAACCTTCCTGGGCTCTTCCTGAGTGTCTACTGGAAGTGGCCAACACCATCTCCCTGCTCCAATGCACCACTTCTTGGTGTAATTCCACATTTCTCCTTTTTACAATGTTAGGGATCCAACCACAGCAGGTAAGCCTTAGGCCACTGAGCTATATCCCAACCTATCTCTCACACATGATCATGGCCTGCATGTTGGGGCATCCCAAGTGACCAAGTCTGTCTTCACCTTGCCTTGTGCTGGTGTCAAGGACAACAGCAAGAACTTCTGGTGCAACCATCTGAATACAACTTTGGGGTAAGAGAGAGACAAGGTTTCCACTTGGTTTATTTTCTCTAAGTGACAAAGGAAAGACTTGGGGGTAACAGAAGTGGAACTGAATTTAATTAGGGAAAAGAGAGGTTGGAGGAAATTAGAAAAAGTATAGAACAATGTTTTTCCTCTTACACATTTTGTTTAAAAAACAAAAGCCACCTCTGGAGCACAGACACCTGAAGATTGTGTTTTGTTTTCTGAGATGCAGCTATGGGTGGCCTAAGAGACTGACTTTAAATTCAATCCTCCCACTTCCCAATGCTGTGATTACAGGTGTGAGCAAGTATACTTGACTGTGTACTGACTTTTATACACTTAAATAAAACTTCATAGTTAATTTTGATGTATGCTCCCAGCTTTTAAGAAGCACAGGGTCAAGGTGCGTGGGTGTGGTGGCATACACCTTTAATCCCATCACTCAGGAAGCAGAGGCAGGGAAATCACTGTGAGTTCAAGGACATCCAGGGTTACACACAGAGAAACCCTGTCTCAAACAAAACAAAACACCAAAATAAAAACAAACCAAAGAAACTTAGAGTCAGTCTTGGTGTCAGTTTGGTGTCCCAGTTTATGTGTCCCAGTCCCCTCCTAGTCCTGTCCCATCCCATCCGGTCCCGTCCCTCCACACATGTGCCTTCCTCTCTCACTCTCCACCTTCTTGCTCTGAGACATGCTGGCTGCCCAGAGTACGCTTAAGGGATCTTGAGGGACAACCTCCCAGGCACAAGGATTATGGACACATGCCCCTATGCCCAGTTTTCCCCCAGGGTACTGAGGATCTAACCTCAGGTCCTGCCATTTGCTTGGTAAGCACCTCACTGACTCAACCATTCCCCACCTCTTAACAAGGTATATTTTAAATGTGTTACTGGAAATCTGGTTTAGGGGGCTGGAGATGGCTCAGTAGCGAGGAGCACTGGCTACTCAATATCCAGCACTCATATGGTGGCTCAAACTCTCTATGAGGAACCCAATGCTGTCTTCTGGTGTAGAGACATATATGCAGACAAAACTCTCATATACATAAAATATACAAATAAATCTTTTTTTTTTTTTAAATCTTGTTTAGAGCCCTCCCCCATCAGGGCTCTCTCAGGGCGTAGGGCCCCGGACCGCCACCGCCACCTCGGCCCCTGCTGGCGCCGCCGCCTTTCCTGCCCACCCCTCGCCATGTCCGAGGAGCTCTCGGCGGCCACATCCTACACGGAAGATGACTTTTACTGCCCTGTGTGTCAGGAGGTGCTCAAGACACCGGTGCAGACCGAGGCCTGCCAGCATGTTTTCTGTAGAAAATGTTTCCTGACTGCAATGAGAGAAAGTGGAATACATTGTCCCCTATGTCGTGGAAGTGTGACTAGAAGAGAAAGAGCATGTCCGGAATGGGCCTTAGATCTTGAAAATATCATGAGGAAGTTTTCTGGTAGCTGCAGATGCTGTTCAAAAAAGATTAAATTCTATCGCATGAGACATCATTACAAATCTTGTAAAAAGTATCAGGATGAATATGGTGTTTCTTCTGGCATTCAAAACTTTGCAGACAAGATTTCTCAAGATTCAGTAAGGAACAGTAATAGGTGTGAAACATCTACATCTGATAACACAGAAGCTTATCAAGAGAATACAAGTTCTTCTGGGCATCCCACCTTTAAGTGTCCCTTATGTCAAGAATCAAATTTCACCAGACAGCGTTCATTGGATCACTGTAATAGTAACCACCTATTTCAGATAGTTCCTGTGACATGTCCTATTTGTGTGTCTCTTCCTTGGGGAGATCCTAGCCAGATTACTAGAAATTTCGTTAGTCATCTAAATCAAAGACATCAGTTTGATTATGGAGAATTTGTGAATATTCAGCTAGATGAAGAAACCCAATATCAAACTGCTGTGGAAGAGTCTTTTCAAGTAAACATCTGATGTGTATAGACATCTCTGCATCTTTGTACCTACAAGTGCCATCTTTAAGGAGAAGACAACATGAAGTCACCGTTTCAGTAATTTTCTGTGCATATTAATAAAATAATAATTCAGTCTACTGTATTAGGTTTTTAATTGAAAATAAAGGTGGGCCACCCTAACTCCATTCTCTAGACAATTATATTAACAGCATGGAAAGGTTGTATTTCACCTGTGTGGTAAAAACGGAATCTCTGTTGTCTTTTCTTTCTTGTATTACATATTCTGAATGTTCCATTAAGTTGTTTTTGATATTTGATGCAGTTCTTACTATTTACTTTAGTACAGAGATGACAGTAGCAAATTCTGAAAGATGTGACGCCTGTAAAACTAATAAACCTGAGCCATTTGTCAGAGCTGCAGAATGGAAACTTGAAGTGCTAAGTGCGATCATCCAAGGGGATTTTGTAAAGTATAGATTCTAGCTGAGGAATTCAACAATAAGAAAAATTTATTTATATAATGTTTAGTATTTTTGAAGATTAGTGAGATTTCTTTAATAATATTGACTTTGAAAGCATATTGTACAAGTGTTCTTCTTTTGCTATTAGAGCATATCAAGAGAAGAAAAAAGTTTTCTTTGGTGGTTAGTTTATTTCAATCTCTAGCTTGAGTAATTTGTAAGCCTAAAATAAGTTGTACGACAATTCTTTGTAGTCAGCATTTCTCACTAGCTGATGAAACTTTTCAGTCAGTGATGATATATTATACTTAGTTTTTTAAAAATCCAAAGTTGAAGATGTATGTGGATATGTACATACACTTTTGCATGTATATATACACATATATATCTTTGCCTAGAGTTTGTCAGGTTATGTATAGAATTTCTATTAAGAGTTTTAATAATGGACAAGCAATATAGGATTGAAGTATTTATCTCATTTGTTTAATTAAAATTTTGTATGTTACCAAATTTTTAAAACAGTAATCCAAGCACTAAGTGGTACAGCTGGCTGTTATTACACCTGAACAATTTGTTACATGGTGCTCATTTGCTATTCTTGATAAAAATGCATAGGTGATGTAGTGAGAGAGATTTTACCAGCTACTGTTTCACTACCTTTTAGTCAAAACCAAGTTTGTTCTTAATCTTTGGTATAAAGTATTGTAGAGGCAGCCAAGCCACAGAGGAAAGGGTGAAGAGCGAATTCCTGACAGTCCATGCTAACATACACTGTAATGCTTTCTTTAAAATAACTAAACACAAAAGAAAATCTCTGAAGTAGTTTGCTGGTAATACATACATATATTATAAAAAAGGTATATTTTAATTTTCTTAATACCATTGTTGACTTTTCTACAATGAACATTTTTTAACTTGATTTAATAAAAATGTTAATTTTGGACGTGCAAAAAGTTCTATCATGTAATTTATAGGCTTACGAACAGAACTTTCATACATAATTCTCTCTTCTGGACCTCTAGCTTGGTCTCTTTTATAAACACACTATTAGGTCTTTCCAAAGGGCCTAGTGAACAATCTCTGAGTGCTCCCTAGCACGCTGGGCAAAGACTCCATCTTCGGTTAGATGACACAGGGCTGCTCCAAGCATTGCCCAGGGACAACCTGAATGGTACTCTTTAGGGTAATCCAGAAACCCTACCTACAGGAAACCTTAACAAGTTCCTTTATAATCAGTTCTAACTGTACCCCTCCACAGAGCTTTCTTCAACGTCCCACTCTTGGGTCAGACAGTCTTTTCTGGGCCCTGTTTCCTGTCTACTGCAGAGTCCTGGCTGTGGGAAACCAACAAGGGAATTAGCACATCTTTAGTGTTTTCAGAATGCCAGCTCTGCAAGCTCAGGCCTGGGGTGCACCAGGTCTGAAGAAAGCCCAGAGGCTGAGGAAAGCATTCACCTCCCAGCTTTTAGAGTTCACCAGAACCTTCTCCTGCCTGTTGAGATGAAAACAGACTGCATACCTGGGGGTATGACTCTGAGAAGCAGGCAGGAGCAGTGGCTGACCTTTAGAACTTACACTAACGTTTTCAAGAGTGACCTCAGCGGGACTACTCATTGAGAATGTCACCTCTTTGAGTCCTCTGCACAAGGATCAGCACTCTGAGTGGGACACTGAGGTTGAAAATCAGCCTTGGAGTGAGTGCCTCCCTTGGCCTTCTGCTTGAGGCAGGGATGGTGGTTTCTCCAAATTCAGCCCACAGGACAGCCAAAGCACAAAGTAGAGCTCAGGAGCTGAGAGGGCGGGCGTCACTCAGATCCACTTTTACAATTTCATATCTCAGTTTCAGGACAATTTTTCAGCTTGAAACATGAGTTTTGCTGCTTTTTAAATGGGCAAGGAAGATGACTGTGCGTGAAGCAACTGCCATGAAGTACAAGAACCCGAGTTCAATTCCCAGCACCCACATGGCAGCTCACAACTGTCTGTAACTCCAGGTCTGCCACCCTCACACCAATGCACATAAAATAAAGGTTTTGTTTGTTTGTTTGTTTGTTTTTTAAAGGAACTATAGGGGCATTTTCTTGACCAACGGTTGATGTGGGAGGCACTAGCCCACTAGGAGTGCTGCCACTCACTCCTGGCCAGGAGGTCCTGGGTTATATGAGAAAGCAGGCTGAGCAAGCAGGAAGGCAGTGGTCTTCCGTGGCTCTGCAGTTCTTGCCTCTCAGTTCCTGCCCTGAGTTTCATCAGTGATGAAGCATGACCTAAGAACTGTAAGATAAAACAAACCCTTCTCTCCCCAAGTTGCCTTTGTTCATGGTGTTTTTTTCTACAGCCAACAAGAGGGTTGCTGGAAAACCAGCATCCTAAAGAATTCTCTCACATCCTGTTCTGAAAAAGAAGAGGCAGTAATGCTTGGGATGGAGAGGTGGGTCCCGTGGGCAAAGATGATTGCCTGACAAGAGACCCATATTGCTAGAAGGAGAGACTAGATGCCTGACAGCTGTTCTCTGTGCCCCCACCCCACCCCACACACACAATTTTAAAGCAAATGGGCTTATGGGAAACTGTACCCAGCATGGACCTAGTTGTATAGATGGCTGAGAAGACAAAGAAATGAGACCTTGGTCTTAGTATTCACGGGAGGTGCACAGATGGATAACCTCTTACCCCCACGCATCCACCTGCCCCACCCCTGGGCACCCCACCTTGATATCTGGATATACGGAGACATGATGACTAGACAGTGAGAACAGACCAGTAGTGGCCAAGTCGTCAGTTACCTTCTCCAACAAGCCTCCTACATCTTTCTCAAGGCAAACACAACATCTCGTGTAATCCTGGCCACCTCCTGCCACCCCCACTGCACACCCAGAAGCCATTTGTGTCATTTTCAAGATGACTTCAAATTGTGTAGTGAGTTTATCTCAGTTATTGTGGGTGTTTGAGTAGGGCAATCAGTCTGTCCCCATGATGAACTCGGTGAAGAAACCATCACGGTGTCTCCCCAATGTGCTGCTAGAAACCAGAGCCCAGCAGAGATAGCTGAGACAGGATTCTGAGACCACTACCTCCTGTAAAATCTACAAACATGCATGACTGCCAAGCAGATATACCACTCAGCCGTCCCTGACTGTCCTGAGACCCCAAGAGCAGGGACAAGGTAGTACCATCCAACTAAGTTACCAGTGACCACCACTGTCCACCACAAATCATCTTCATATATTAGCCACAAACTCACTGATGCAAGGCTATTTAATGGAAGCACTGTGTGTCTGGTGGAGGAGCAGCCAATTCTCTACAATATGCTGACATGAAGCCTTCTGCTGGTTTAGGATTCAGAAAGAGCTGAGTTCAAATCATGAGCAGCTTCAGTCAAATTATCAACTTGACCCATGGAACCATAATTTCTTCCATATTTTTTCTTGAAATCAGAACAGTGAACCCATAACTTGTGAGCTTCAATGAGAGAACACAGAGGCTCTGCATCAGAATTAAACACCTGTCCTTGAAATTCCAGACTCTAGAGGCCATTCTTCAGGCATGTGGTTATAGAGCTCCTTCCATACCAAATCTTTCTGCAAATAGCCAATAGTGCCCTCTATCTGAGTCCCATTTACACAGCTAGTTCTGAGACAGGGGGCCAGCTGTCAAGAGCACACTGATGAGTTTCACACCTGGAACATTTGATAGGTATTAGCTGGTGGAGAGAGAGAGACAGGACTCCGTCTCTGCAGGGGTAGTGTGGAAGAAAGAATGAAAGAAGCCGCTAGAAGGCAACTGTGCTTCTGGGGCTCAAATGCAGAGCCAGTTGCCATTATACAGCCTGTGCCCAACACCTGCTCCTTGTGCCTGGCCCCCAAGAGTGGGGTGAAAGTGGGGAGGAAGCAATCTTTTTAATTCGTTAAGAACAAACATATAAACAACTATGTGTGTCTACACAGGTGTATGTATAGTACTGTGACACCTTTGACTAAGTTGAAAATCTCCGAGTTCTTGTACCTCAAGGGGACCCCTTCTGAGCCAGATAGATTTTTATCACCTTCAGAGGTTTCTGTTCAGCCTCCCCCTCCACCCCAGTACCTTCACCCCCACCCCATGAACCTACAGGGAACACACACACAGTGGAGAGAGTTTGTAACATCACAGATGGAAACACAAAATTGGTATCTGTAAACTTCTTTGTACATCATTAATTCATTAGCCTAGAGAAACTAGAATCAGAGTAAGAACTTGAGCAAGCACCAGGGAAGTTACATACATAGAGAGTTCGGCATCTTTGGTTAAAAAGCAGAATCTAGAAAGTTCCTTTAGCCTTTCAACTGCTCAGCCAGCGCAGCTCAAAGCCAGCCACCATCAGCCACACGTGCGAGCTAGCAAGCATGCTGCCCACTGCAGAGCGCACAACCTAAGTTCCTTCCTGCCTAGTCCTCGGCCGGTCAGCCTGGTTTGCATTTTTAAAGTTGAAGGGCTTGGGGGAGGGGCCAGCACTATGTTCCGACATAGCTCACTATGTTGTATGACACTATGAAATGACACTGTTTTGTTGTGGAACGAAACCACAAACCTAACAAGTGGGTGGAGGAAAGACACACGAGGACAGCAACAACATGATCCTAAATTAATTTTTACTATGAACTAAACATCTTCCAAGAGGCCTCTGGACTACTGCACTTGAAAGAAGGAAGGGTCTTGCACACTCTACTATAAACCAGAGCAGGAAAAGAATTAAAAATTATCACTGTCTTAATTTTTAAGTATTTATTTATTACCGTGGATGGCAGTTGGTTATAAAGGAGGCACATATAAAAATGCTCTAGATAAACCTGGGGAGAGAATTGTTATCTCCAAGACCCATCGGGGTTTTTTGTTGTTGTTGTAGTTTTTTTTTTTTTTGTTTTGTTTTGTTTTTTGCCTATGGCCATATCTGCAGATTTCTTTTATCTCTCTCTCTTCTGTATTTTTGAGGTGTTATCTCATTATGATTTGTAGCAATCCTCCCTGGCTCTGCCTCCTTCCTGCTGAGATCACAGGTATAAGCGACCACGCCTGGTTTAGACTTTTCTACTAAAGAAAGCCATTAAAAAAACAGCAGCGTGGAAGACATGAGATGAAGGAGACAATGTATTTTCTTAAATTATCATTATTATTATTTATTGTGTGTATATATATATATATGTGTGTGTGTGTGTGTGTGTGTGTGTGTGTGTGTGTGTGTGTGTGTGTGTTTTGCTAGCAGAGGCTGGAAACAGCACTGGATCCCCTGGAATTGAAGTTACAGTTGTGAACTCCCATGAAGATGCTGGGAATTGAACCAGGGTTTTTCTTAACCACTGAGCCATCTCTCCAGCCCTTTAATATTTTTAAAAACACATCAAACACACAAATTAGAATCATTGCTACGTCTATTTAAAAAGTCATTTCACATAAGCTCTAGACATGATTTTTCATTTCTTTTTTTTTTTTTTTTAAGTGTACTAACCATCAACTGTTTCTCAGGGTGCAAATTGATAGCTCAGTGCTACAGACGGCTATTAGAAGATTTTTATTCTGTTAGGTTTTTTGTTTCTTTTAATCGTGTTTCTGTGCTGAAGTTATCAAGATCAGCTCTCTGCTGCGATTGCGTGGTTACTGGGAACTCGCACACACACTCACACACACAGAGTTTAATGTGAGGCCAGTTCAGAAACAGAGAGATTAGACACAAAGAAATGTAAACAGCCCTCACATGCTAGGAAGCTAGGTTACGAGAATCCCGGCACCAGGCATTCACCAGTCACCATGGAAAACAGGAAGTGAGGTGCGTAGCAACCACGAGCCAAAAAGCAGAAAAGCGCATACCTTTAGCTTGGAATGAAAATCACGAGATTTCCTTCTGGCAAGAACCTGAATGTGACTAGACACCTGCAGGGTAGGGGAAGGGAGGAAAACAAAGGAAAAGCCTGTAACCATGGAGATGAAAAGCCCCCTACAACTGGGCAAGCCAGACGTACCTTAATGGCGGCTTGAATTTCTCGAACTTTCTTTCTTGCTAAGACCTGTATATGACTAGACACCTACATTTTTCGGGTTTATGCGGAAGGGGGGAGAAGGGGGAGAACAAAACGAGAAAAAAACAAAAAAAACAAAAAACAAACAAAAAAGGAAATCAAATATAAAATCGCTATTCCTCGGGAGGGGTGGGGTGGGGGAGGTTATTTGCATCTCAACGAAGCTCTGCGGTTAGGAACAGACAGTCCCGGCCAGACACCAAGCCCCCAGCACAGCTCTGAAGCTCTCCGGACAGTCACTTGCCGCCGAAGTTTGGGCAGGCTCGCCTCCACGTTCCCCCACCCCCCTGGAAAGACCACAGGTGGGTGCTGGGGGAAGCCTCATTTGGAGAGCCACGAGACGGGGTGGGGGTGGGGGTGCTTTATTTAAAAGGCGGAGGGAGAGGTAAATGAAAATGTTTACAGCTTCTCTGCATCAGGAGAGAAACCCCCCCCCCCCCAATTTAGAAAGGACTGTCCGTAAAATTAGCATGTTCTACACAATCAAAGCTGAGGCCGTGAGCTGGATTCTGATCTCCTGGAGGATTCTAGATTCTGAGGCAAATGTCAAAAAAAAAAAGAAAGAAAGAAAAAAATGCTGGCACATAAATTAAGTATCAAAGAGAAATGGGACCCAGTTAGCAGAGCCTTTTTCCCCCCCTTTAAATTTCTTTAATCCTTCCACTCTTTTGGGAATCAACTAGGTGCCAAGTGGATCTGCATATTATTACAAAAAGAAATGTGTGAATACAGCCAGCCAGCCAGTTAAAAATCTGGTCTGAAAAACTACTCAGCTTTGCTGAACAACACTGGAGGGGTGTCGCCAACTATGTCCTGCCCGCTCCCTGAGGATGGTGCGGACTGTGGAAACACGGCCAGGCAGGCTTCTGACACACTGCGATTCCACTGGGCTAGGAAGCCTGCATCTATTTCAGCGGGAACTAATTAAATTTAGAAGAGACCCCAGTGAAGGGGATACAGGGCAAGTGACTAGGGCTCTCTAGCCAATGCGCCAGTTCAGCCCTTGAGATGGAAGGAGAGAGCCTGTTGTCTGCATCTGGAGATTCTGAACTTCCCATGACAAGTTCAGAGACTTGGGCTTGGGCAGTTACCTCATTTCTAACTCTCCAGTGACTCTAACAACAGGACTCCAGATTATCAAAGATCTTTTAGTGGTTAAATTTGTCTTCGCAGTTTCAGTAAGTCACTTTCTTCCCGTTTCCAGAGAAGCGGGGGCTCCCCAGCCTCTTCGCCCCTCCATCTGGCTCCTGCTGTTACTCATTTTCACCCAGAATCACGTCTGATGCTCTGACTTGATGAGGGCTATGGCTGGGTGCATCCCGGGCAGACAGGGCCCTCTTGCCTGTGCTGGCAGGAGGCCACCCCTTTCTGCTGACTCAGCATGGGGCCAGCACAGACAACCTTTCTGAGGGACAGCCCGGGCCCCTGCCCCACACTCCAGAAAGAAAAGATCCCTCCCCATTGGGGGGTGGGCACCCTACTGCTGCCCAGCCTTAAAGAGACAAGAGTGGGCTGGCTGCATTCAGGATTCCGTTATTGCCCCTCACCTCCCTTTAATTAATTCTGGGATGAGGTCTCTCGCTATGTTGCGAGTGGTCTTGAACTCCTGGGCTGAAAAGGTCCTGATGCTTCAGACTCCCGAGTAGCTGGGACTAGAGGTACACTCCACCGCAGCTGCTGAGCTCTGTGCCAAATCTTTCCACATAGGTTAACATTAAAAAAAAAAATAAGTGTTTTTCTGGTATCAACCAGCCCATCACATGGGTTGTTTGTTTTCGTTTCTTTCTCTTTTCTGTTTTTAGAAGCTGGTTTCACACCCATTCCATTTGTGAACTTCGTCACATCAGAGGTCTCAGCTGCTTTGTGTTCAAAAGAACCAGGGAAGGCAGAGCCCTGGCCCGAGTCAGAGAATTCCCATTCCTGTCTGCAGCATATAAAAACTGTAACTGCTTTACAGTCGCAGCAGAGGCTGACAAAAAGCCATTGCTAAAGAAGCCACAGTGCCCTGGAAGTGTATCGCTCAGTGTCGTATTTAGGCCATTGCTAAAGGCCACTGGAGTGACTTCACTGAAAGATGACAATTACATAATCATTTCAGGATGTTAAAATGCACAGAACCTCCAAATCTCTTGGCTTGCCAGGGTAACTGCACCTGCAGCCTTCTGAAGCTCTGGCAAATATTAGGGAGGTGAGAAAAAAAAAATGACAGGATTGAAACACAGCAGGGGGAAGGAAGTTCAGATATTGGCTTGGCAGTGAACTTTGCTGTGTGTGTATGACGGTGCAGGTAACACGAGGCTTGGGCCACAAAAACGATGAAGAGTGGGGAAAAGCCACTGCAGGACACCTACACCGTGGACTCCTTACAGGGCACTGGGACTAGGGCTCCTAGAGCCAAAGCACAGCAGCCAAGGCAGCCCACTGTCTCCGGGCCATTCGCTGACATGCAAACCTTGCAGGCGGGTACTGTACCTGCTTCCTGGTCCTTGTCTTCCCTGTCCTGAGTTTGATGTATCTGGCTATCAATTCATTTCTACCTGCAAGAAAGAAGAATTTACAATAAGGCGGGCTCCTTAAGAATAAATAAAGCCCCCCAAACCTAAGAGTAGAAATGTGATTCAAGAATTTTGAATTGGAGAGGTGGGAGAGATGATGGCTGCTCTTGCATGAGACCCAGGTTCAGTGTCCAGCACCCACGCAGTGATTTACAACCACCTGTAAGCCCAGTTCCAGAGGATCTGGCACCTCCTTTGGGTCTCCACAGACACTCACCCACGCAGTACATATACATATATATACACACATGCACATACATATATATATGAATGCAGGTACAACACTCATATACATAAAATAAAAAAATCCCAAAAGAAAAACAATTTTGAACCGCAACAGCTGGTGGAATGCTTGCTTGTCCAGCCCTGGGCTAGCTCTCTAGACCATACACACCAAGCATGGTTTTACATACCTGTAATGCCAACACTTAAGAGGTAAAGGTAGGCAGATCAGAAACTTCAGACCAGCCTGGGCTAAATGAGACCTCGACTTTTTCTTTTTCGCCTTCTTTTTAAACTGGGGCTTTTTCAGTTTATTTCTGACAGAAAATAGCAAAACTGTCTGGAAAAAAAATATTTACTAGGAAAATTAAGATAGAGATCAATTAACTTTAAATTTTATCCAGTACCAAGAATGAAATATATCTTTTAAGAAAATACCAGTATAGCTGGGCATGATGGCACACACCTTTAATTTCAGAGCTCAGAGGAAGAGGCAGGTGGATCTCTGAGTTCAAGGCCAGCCTGGTCTACAGACCCAGGCTATAGACCAGGATAGCCAGGTCTACACAGAGAAACCATGGCTTAAAAAGATCATCAAACAAACAAACAAAAAGGCCTGTGTGATCTTGTTTGCTTGCACTAGAGTTGGAAAAGGAGACATGGACACACACACACACACACACACACACACGGGGAGGGGGGATAGTTAGTCTGGGAGAAAATGAACCCAGTTATTTTAGCCTTTATTTCTCAACGGTCATTTTCTTCTTCGTCCAAGCTTCTCCCTGTGGCCACCTCATTATAGACACAGAGAGTGAGAGTCTTGTGGCTGCCAAGTACAGCAATGAAAGGAAGCTCAACTGTATGGAAGGAGAAGAGCCTGAAATGTGGTCCTCACACCCGAAGCTAACTGCAGACTGTTCTCATGCCTGTGTGTAGGGGGCGTGACTCAACCTTCTCCGAGCCTTGCAGCCCTGAGCCAAGAAAAAGCACCTGAACAGAAAAACTTTCATTCTTATGCTGCTGGTAAAATGAAAATTTAAACAGTGTGATGTGAAAGGAAAGCATTCCCCCAGAAGCTGAAGAGGCAAAGTACCACTAAGCTACTGTGAGAAAGAAAGCCCATCCTGATGTGGGTCCTTCTAAGTATACTCCAATTACTCCCTCTGCCTGTCCCGGGAACAGCACACAGCTCCAGAACATTGTATTTTATGGCCTTTCATCGGCCCCTTTGGCAAGACCAGGTCTAACTAAAGTCAGTCACTTCCCTGCCCTGTTGAGCGTGATCTGGCTTTAACATGACTCCAGGGCTGTTGGAAGCAGTAAGCCCTGCCCTTTCCCCTCATGGGATGCACCTGAACTGTCATGGCATAGCTTGTATTTTGTGTCTAGTTCTCCAGACACACTGAAGAGCACAAGACCCCTTTTTCACATCCACACTGTCCCGGACACCTAGCACCTGGATGGGCACAGAGTGATATATAGAAACACAGTGCTTTGGTTTGAATGTGAAATGTCCCCCAAAGGCAGTATGTTCAATATGTTTGAACTCATATTCCCCATTTGGTGGCCCTGTCTGGGGAAGCTGTGTGGTCTTAAGGGCACACAGCTAGTGGATGAGGTCATCAGAGGCAGGATTTGAGGGTTAAACCCTAATGTTTTTTTCCAAAGGGCATGTTATAAAAAGTAGACCACAAAGAACTAAGGAGAGCTAAGCATGAAGTGTTTCCCATTACAATGGAATGTACACTCTAAACTGTGAGCCAAAATAAATCCTGCTTCCCTTAAGTTGTTTATCAGGTATGTGATCAATGAAACAGAAGTTACCAACACATACACTGCCTCTGCGGAGAGGGCAACCACACACCTGCCCTGGCAGAATAAAGTCAACTGTGCTCAGAGAACCTGGGACACAAACAACTCACTGCAGCCTGAAACATCTGTGTCCTTACAGTGACTTGAGCCTATCTACTACCTGTTTCACGACCTCACAGAACATACAGAGCACAAAAGACAAAGGTGCCATAGTGCCGCAGAGAACCCCTGGGGGACCCTCTCCTTTCTCTGAAACTAAAACGTACCCCAAACCTAAGCCAACATTTTAGAATGAAGGAAGAGGCCTGCTGTATCTTCAAGCAGATTAATAAGACAAGGGCCTACTTGCACAGGGTTCCTGTTAATGTTCATCCTTAGACGATTCCAAGAGTCTTTTAGGCCTTCACACAGGTGCCTAGCTGCCTTTCAGGAGTCCTGCTGGATTCCCCAGACTGTCCTCTGTCTACCTTCCTTTCAGAAGAGTATGCAGAACTAGAAATGATCATGCTGTAAAGCTAAGTACGTACACCTATCACCTCAGCCTAGACACTCCTACCACCACTATTATTACTATCTATCATTTTTATTGTTATTTTATACATAAGGGTGTTTTATCTGAACGCCTGTGCATCGTGTGCAGGCCTGGTGCTCACAGAGGCCAGAAAAGCATGTCAGGACCCCCAAACCCACTGCATGGGGGCTGTTCCTCAGATATACCCCTTACCCTGTCCCTCTTCCTTTCAGAACTGCTGGTATTTTCAAACCCCCAATACAAAACTTTCCATTTATCTCCACTCCCATCTCACCCTATTAAATTGAGCCCTATCATTCCAGTCTGTCAAAATCTTTTCAGATCCCGACTCTGGCTGAATGTACCTTTTCCGGAGCATTTAGACTAGAAGGGCTTCTGAGTTCGGCTTGGGGATTGCTTCGGCGAGCAGCCCCTTTCAAACTGCCCGCTGCCAATATCCCCTGTAGTGTCATCGGGCCTACTTGTCCATCTCAAAGAAGGCTGTGCAGATTTTGCAATTTGTCATAAAGGCGCACTGACAGCCGAGCCCAGCCAGGAGTGCCTAATTACCAGAAACCAGCCCCGAATGACAATGTCCACAGCTCAGCCGAGTACCCTCCAGCCCTAGGCCCTCTCCGCACAGCCATTTGGGGCTGATTGAGTGGCCAGGGCTTGTACGACATGCAATTTCATCTGGATCTTGTCCAGGTGGCACAAAAGAGGCTCTTGCCCCAAACTTCCTTATTTTCTGTGAATACAGAAAAGACGGCTTGGGGGATGTGACACGAAACTGGCATAGCGACTTTTGATTTCTCGTAGCATCAGGTTGAAGGAGGATGAGGGCTATGTAGAATAGCGACAAGGACCCAAGATCCCCAGAGCCAAAGCAAATGGTACTGTGCTTTAATCAGGCTGGAAAGTGATTCTAAAGGCCACTTCTTGCAGAGCGGGTCCTTGCTGAAGGGATGTGCTAAGCACGCCTCTCTGACCATTTCACTGAAGGCGTAGTTTAAGCTGGGTGTGGGAGGGGTACCAGCCTGGGTTACACAGAGAGGTCCTGTATCAAAATAATAAGAAAGCTTATCTTACTCTCACATCTTTGTTCCAGAGATGAATAGGACCATGCTACAAAGCCTGGATTTTTTTCTTTGGTGCCCTGCTCCAAAATTTATTTCTTTTAGATATTAAAACCACCTGTTTTAACTTATGAAGAGAGCGTCTTCCAGAAGACAAGGCATAGAAGCCTGAGCAATTTTCTTGCAAGCAATATCCTAATACTACTTGTAAATCTTGGGTGATTTAAATCTCTTTATCTAATTCTCTTACTCTGCCATATGGTTTAATCTGGAAGAACAGGCTAATCTATTACCTGGTCTCTTTTGAGGGAAGGGTAGGGAGTTCAAGACAAGGTTTCTTTGTCCTGAAACTTGTTGTGTAGACCAGGCTGTCCATCAACTCAGGAGATCCACCTGTCTCTGCTTCCCAGATTCTAGGATTAAAGGCATGTGCCAACAATGCCCAGCGGAAGCAAATTATTTTAAAAAATTATTTGAAAATAGCAAATAAGACAGAAATCCTTTAAACCGAAATAGAACCTATGGCTGAGTCTATTAAAACTTTCTACGTCTATTTCTAAATCTTGCCCGAATTAAAATATTCTTACCTGGGAAAACAGAGTGACATTCTAAATGTCTGGGCTTCTCTGTGACCTTGACAGGACACCTTAAATGTTAGTTACTTCTATTTCTTTTGAATTGGTGTGTGTGTATGTTGTGTGTGTTGCACACGTGCATGTACATTCACATCCCTGCAAGTGGCTGCGTTCAGAGGCCAGAGAAGAATGTTTTCATAATGCACTGTCATCCTGTCCTTTACTCCCTTGAGACAGAGTTTCTCATTAAACCTGAGCTCAGCTGGCCATTTCTCATCTAGGCTAGCTTGCCAGGAAGCCCCCACAGTCCTCCTGTGTCTGTTCCTCTCTACCCCCAACCCTGTTTTGTTTTGTTTGTTTGTTTTTAAATATGGGTTCTGGGGATCTAACCCCAGCTCCTAGCGTTTGTGCGTACTCATAAAGCTGTCCCCACTTACATGTCTGTAATAACCGTCCAGAAAGCCCACAACTGTCAAATTGGTCAAGAGCTGAGGTGCACGCTGCTACAACCTGGGAGGGGCACCCAGTTTGCACTCCAGGGTCCTGCTAAACATACACAACCAGAACATTGGCAGCAGAAATGTTCACTCTTGCGTCTCTAGTTCTTGTGTGTCTTAGTTCCATGAACATTACATTGTAAAATGGACTCCTAACAAGGTACCCTTAATTTTACACTGTATCTCCACACAGCCTACACATTAGCTTACATTTCTTGCAAACAATTGTGGTTTTGAACTGTGACTTTTTCTGAGATTTTTTGGAGTATATCCATATATGAATGAA